GCTCCCGCGGGAGTGTCGGAGGGTTGTGTATTTGACATTTAGCATTTCCCGCGGGAAAGTTGCTTCTTTGTCTGTTGTCAAGGAATCCCATTCTCGTAACATTATCACGTATTTCAGAAAGATAAACGTAATACACATTTACATTAAGATTATCTACAAAAAATTCTCGCGTATTATATTAATTATCTGACTATATATATATACATATATATATATGCTACGTACAGTCAATTAGCGAATCTGATTAAATTTCACAATATGCTATAAAAATTGATGTTATCATTCAATTGCGATATAATTAATTGAATGAAACATACTGTCGGAATATGGAAAAATCTGTTTTTTTTTTAAGTAATAAAATAACTGTATCGCGCCGGCAAAGTCCCGTCGCAGAACGACGAGGATTTATTTCAAGGCGTTGCAATTTCTTTCTGTATCAAGCGGACGCGTCTAACCGGTCTGTCCGGGCGAAAGTAAGAGCTCCTCTTCTTAAGATTAACGATACTTTAGTGCTCTTTTAAAGAGATCGTCCTTCCATACCCGCGTTCCCCGGCAGGAATGCTCAGAATTAACCGCCACCTCAGCCGCCCCCTCTCATTCTCTACGCGTCGCTCTCCCTTCGCCTCGCGCGATCCCCACTTCGTTATTCTCCACCGCCGCACTACCCTCGCAATGGGAGGACCGAAAAAAAAGAGTAGCAATCGTCGGAACTTGAAAGCAGGGCATTTTATGATGACTACAAAAGTGGTTGCGGCCACCGTTGGGGTGGCAAGAAAGAGGGTGGGCACGGTGCGGTGAAACGAGGGTGAGACGCTACTACCACCACTATTGCTATCCACCGCCACCTCCTTTCCTACGTCCTTAACAGGACCAAGCGACGCGACGTAAGGGAGAACGGGTGAGATGGAAGGATCGAGAGAGCGCGGCTACCACTCTCGGCAGAATGGTGGAGACGGCAGGGACTTGAATTGATTGCTTTCATTACGCAAAAAAGTCGCCTTCTCTTTCCCTTCCCGCACGAGCAACCCCTCACCTTACCCTCCGTATTTTTAACTTCTGCCGTGCGACACTGGCGAATAAGTAAGTGCGCTATTTACATCAAATCTTGTGAGTTATCGCCGCCCACCTTTTCTTTCCTCCCGCTATAGTACCGCCATCGGAGGAACTTTGTCGGGGGTAAATTCTTTGTGTAACCGTTACAAGATTATGCGACAATGAAAATGTCCTTTGGATGCTACCGGAGTTAAATCGTGGAGCAGCTTAATCCTTGCGCTCGTAATTTCTATCAGGATAAGATAGAATCTCTCTTTTCGAAAAGAAATATATTCGCCGGTAATTTCACCGTAATTTCTGAATCGTAACGAGCGATAAGAACATATATTATCATATGACGTATACCTTAACAATATCGTTAATTTCACAGATGCCCCGTTATAGTTTCGCGAACTTTTCGTTCTTGCACTATGATAAAGGAGATTAATGCGGCGGTCGGTCGCATAGATTAGGAAGGATAGTAGCTCGTCTAGGCACTGATTAGGGACAGCCAAGAGCACGATGCAGCCGCATTACCCCAATGATCGATGCACCCCGTACGGTGACCTCATCTGCATTTGCCCCCGCGTACACCGCAGCGATGCTTCCTACCCTCCGCCGCCTACACCGCAGGGCCTCCGGGTCCACGGTGCGTCCCTATTCGCCTACAAATGCGTCGTCTCAGCGTCGAGCACCGGTGCAATCATGTAGAGGACATATTACCCGTCAACGCGGCCGGAGCCGCTCGTTCGTTCAGGCAAATGATATGCCAAAGCGTAATCTCGAACGAGATCCTCGAGAGATTAGGTTCACCGGCGTAGTAATGACGAATGAAGGGTCCGTGCTCGTGAGGATCACGCGTCAGGTGAAGCAAGAATTTTTGCGAGGGGTGAAAATAAGCATCGGGATCTCTCCAAGGATCCGCCACAAAATACTAATTTATCATCATGTCGCCTCTATAAGAAAACGTGCACGGCGATGTGAATTAGAGAATTACAAATCCCTGAATAAGTGAATTCTTGTTTGAAAATTAAAAATTCTCGTCGGTGAAGTAAGGTCAACCTCTTAGAGCAACCAAGAGCGAAAAATAAAAATCTTTCTCACACGTATGTCTCGAAAGTCGAGTATGTCTCGTAACTTTGTACGCTTCCCGCGCGAGTTCCGTCGATATTCTCACGAATCGACGATCGAATCGACCGTGTTGCTGCTAGGAAGTTTCGTTTCGCCCGAGTGCGAGTGTCGGTGTCGCGTACACCGGTTGCGCAACGACACCGTTTTGACAAGACACACATGTAAAGTTTCGCGATGTCGGGTATCTAGTGTCAGCGTGCGCAGGCCGAGAGGGCGGAGGAGGCGACGCGGGGATCTGGAAAGGAAGAAAGAGAGAAAGAACTCGCAAAAGAACGCACTCAAATGTAAACCGGACCCTTGTGAGATTCGCGGCCTAACGACGGTCCCACCAACGACGACGATGCCTGACCGCACCTTCCGGGCGATCCGGCCCGATCCATGCGGCTCAGAATAGGGCCCAGTTTCTTCCTTCTCGGCGTAACATTCAGAAAGGATGATACTATACGATCCAGTTGATCATTTTGATGTAAAATGAATCTTTTTAATTTTTACAGATAAAAAGTCTGTCTCTCTCTTTCTTTTTATTTCAGGCTTTACGCATATAAACACAACGCTGCACAATTTGATTAAATTTAACATTAAGATATGTTATAGGTATATGAACAAAATGTAAGCGATTTGACAAATATAAATAATACAGAGATGAGCGGCTCTATTTACGAGCGATAAATGTCGAATAGTTTGTACCATTCGAACTTTTAAGCGTTATAAACTGTAACTCTCTTCCGGCGAATAAGTATCTATATTTCACGATACGTATCATGTCCGAGAATAAGTTCCCAAGGAACGCGTTGCACAGGAGAGGGAGTACGGCGCAGTTCATAAACCAGTAGTATACATCGCGCTCCACCTTCCGCGCTTTAACTTCCCCACCTCGCAATGTGTAGATTGCAAAGCCCTTTTCTCCCTCGGCCACCTTTGCTGTCCCGCGGCAGAGTCCGTGAGCGGTATCCACGGTATTTGTCTCCACGTAATCAGTCTCGTAATTAATCGCGGCGATGCATGCCGCGGGACGTCGCGCGATACGCTCCAAGAGCGTTAACCCTTTCAGTGCTAAGTTATTGTAACGCCATAATACAAATAGGATCGCATACGATTGTATACAAAACATCGTGCTCAAGCAATCTTTACAAACTAAACCGAAACATCTCTAATATAATAGTCTCCACTACCTCCATGTTTTAGTGAATTGTTGGTGATGACAAATCGATGACGAAGAGATTGCCGTGAAAGGTGTAGAGAAGAATAATTTCGTACGTAAAGAATAAAAAAAAGACTAATTGTTGAACAAAACTCGATTTAAAGTTGGAAATTCGAAGAAATAGATTCCCGCTGAAGGAGAGACAATCAAATAATTTCGCGCAATATTGGCAGTATACCAGCCGACCAGCATTAATTTTTAAATATATTTGGCTGCGTGGCTTCGTCTGGCCGCCATTGTTCTTTTCTGACCCTTCATCTCTAAAATGTGACGATAAATAAGTTTATAGCCATTCGATATCCTTGAATTGCTCTTTGCGTACAGAAGGATCGATAAAATGAATAAATTATAACAATACGAGAGGAAGAAGAATTAAATAGAAACAATCGAAGAAGGAAACTATCAGAAAAACAATTCCACGAAAATTTCTGAAGATACATTTTGAAAATCGTATGAGATCCAAAGACTTGAATTATTATGAAAATTCAATTGTCGTGAACTCGTTAACGACAAATCGACAAATACGTTTTGTTCAACCTTGCTTCGCGTACTTCTCCCATTCTTTTCCTTTCCTTGAATTTCTCTCTCATCGATCAGCGATCAAAACGCCATGATCCATTCCGCAGAATGAAATGCCACACGCCGCAGAAGCGGCCGTACGGTGGAGAGAAACCGGGGCGGGTAACTTTTAAATAAATAAAATCGATAGGGCGCGACATCCGAGGGAGTCCAAGAGGTACGACCTCTTCTCTCCCGGAGAAGAGGGACACTCTCATGAATAAGCAGTGCTCACAGGGGTGTGCGCCGCGTGATTTCGCGCGGGACTGTTGGCGGTAGACCAGCCGGCGAGCGTTTATTTCGCGCTCGCCTTCGTCTCTCTTCCATCCCGAGATCCACCGTCCTCCGCCACTCTCCTGCCTCCCCGCACCCGTCATCCGAGGGTCCCATACTCGTTCCCGCCGAGGTCGCCGCGATGCCAATAACGAGGTTATCCCGCGCGACGCCGCCGCCGTTTCCGTAGAAACCCCTCGTCGCAGGGTGCTCTCCCACCCGGCGGTTACATCGCGCCGACCAATCGGGCCCGGCTGGATGCTGATCGAGGGATGCAAAAGGCGGGGTCGAGCGCGGCGTGGGGATGAAAGCTCGCCGCCGCGAGGCGGGGGTCGAAAAGCTGTCCGAAGTCACGTGTGTCCGTCGGCAGAAGCCACCTTCGTACTCCTCGACGTCGTCGGCCCGGTTTTGCCGTGGCGGCACGGCTCGCGTCGCTTCTTCGGGAGCACGAAAACAACCGCGGCAGCTGATAACGATAACGACCAACGGACGTGAACGAGACTTGTTTCCCTTCTTTCCGCATACCGCGAAGCCATTAAGAACTTCGCGCCTGGACGGAGAGCGTTTGGCGTTTCGTTTGTCGCCAAGCTCGACGTCCCGCGCGTATCTCGGATTCGACCAACCGGTTCACTATCGCGCCTGTCTATCGCTTGTCAATAATTCACGGGATGAATGTTGTATTGAATAACGCGACATATTCTGTAATGCCGTCTTGAGAAAATCCACATCTCAGCGTGTTCAGCGGATCGAATACAGTGATAAGCGTTGACTACCTACTGAAACGTTGGACATGTTAAACTCTCACCTTTGTGTCGTCGACGAGACGCATGACTACTTGGATGCAGTGAGCTGGATTGGTGATTGTGACGAACGATAACAGCAGTGCATGTCGTGTATATCATATCTCGAGTGTACCTGTAACATACAAGTTCGTCGTTGATATTTCATACTTTTCACATACCGCGTACGTATAAGGACTATGTGCAATATGTCTCCTAGGAAGAGTCGAAAATATTACATAAAGCGCGCGTGAAAACTCTCGCACGTGAGATTTGAGCGGACACTGGGATCTTTGACCGCTCATGTGGACGATGTTGTGAATGGTACTGCGCGACATTTGTGAACGTGCGAGTTGTAGGTCAGATTTGATTTTTCGACGGTGCAGCGAGACACTCGGCACTTGATTCTCGAAGATGAAGCGACGGCCGACCGGGTATCCACAGCCACCCGTCGTCCGCCACAAAGACGCTCCTGATGACAGTCATTGTATCGCATCACCATAGACCGACCCACTTCGTTCCCGTAAAAAAGAGACGAAAGCCACTTCTGGAAATCTGTGAGAGGTCTTTATCGGCGGTCAATAGGACCGCCCGTCCTTCGGATGCATTTAATACATTACATATAAAATCTGCTCCGCTCCGGGAGAAGCAGGCAGCTGGATTCCCGATGGCCGTCGGGCCTGGAAGTGCCGCGATGGACCTCAGCACTACTCTGAGTAGTGCCTACCGATATAATCAAAACATGATGGAATATTACACTTGTAAGATATTTAACTCTACATATATTTTTTAAACGTCTCGCTAGAAAGTATAGGCCTCTTTTTATTTTCTTCTCTTCTTCACCGTCATAACTAGCACGACTGAATAATTTATCCGAGTCTGCTTATATTCGCGCGTGATATACGTATATTTCAAATTGGATTATAATTTCAAATCAAAATTTATCGTTACAATGTTATTGTCTTACACAATTCTTCTTTTATCTTGTTAGACTATTGATATATCGCGAATATACTCGATAGCGTCGATAAATTTCAATCGTCACGATTCTATTTTGTTCGTTAATTCTCAGCTCACGTTAACAAGTACTTGCGGCCGGTGGCAACCATAACGGCATGATTTTAATAGATATTCTAGATATAAATGGATCTAACCTTGCGATCGGAGACTTTTTCTTCATACGAGGAGTTTTTTCGTTGCTTTCAATTTACCGTCTATTCTTTACATTTTATATTTCTTCTAACGCGACTCGAAGCTGCGCATAAGTTCGATGTAAATGCGATTATCAGCGGATGTCGATAACTAATGCAAGAAGAACCGCGAAACGCGACATTCTCGCGTGTAAAACGATTCTCTCGAGATTACACGATTTCTCTTGGAGTTCGCCGACGGAGCATCGATTAAATAGAGCAAACAAGATGAGAGGATCAGAAAAGAGTCGCGAATCCACGGTATCGGTGGGTAAACGAGAGTGCGAAAACAAGAAATCCAGTGGCCTTCGATCGTTAACTGAGCCGTAGCGGTACCGGTACCGACGAAAAACTAAACCGCAATCATTGTAGCTGACGATCTGCGTAGGAGCTATTCGCAAAAACCTTGAAACTCTCTCTTCCCTTGAATTTGTAAAAAAAAAATGTCGCGCATCCGACAGTTTCTATAATAATGTGTTTGGTCCATCTCGTTGTAAAAAATTATTAATCAAATTATTATAATTTGTCTATTAAGAAATGATTTCTCGCATAACTTTGTCTAGAGCATTACATATAAAAATAACAAGTTCGCCGATCCGCAAGCATTTCCACTCAATCCTCAGTCGGACCGTATTAATTAGTTCGAGCGTTATTTTAAAGTTGTAGCAATCAAAATCACCGTACGTTCCGTTTATGAGCGCGCAGCTGGTCCGTTAAATCTAATGGAATGCTAATAACTATGCAACATTAACAAGAATGACGGCAATCACTGATCGGCCACGTGTTGTAAAATTATCTATAACGAACCGTGTGCATGCTTTTTACAACTCGAGAAATTTAAGAATACAACATTTTTATTCATGTATATATATTATCTCATATATTACGTTGTGTCATTGTTTGTTGTGCATTATTCACTAGTATAGTCCGTCAATGAGAAAATCTAATCAAATCTTTATTATGAATGACATTAACGTGCTTTTCAATTACGGCATAACTGTTCTGATTACAATAGCGAAATTCTAAGGCATCGCACGCTATACCGATGAATTACACTTGTACGCGTATTTTTCTAGCCAACAGGTAATAAAGTCCGTCGTATTCAGGCGTGCCGGCAATACATAACGCCAAGGCGTAATGTAATACGGGAACAAAGCAGCGCGATGCTGGAGAAATATCGAGTGACTACACGGGAATCTATATCAAAGTTCTTGGCTTCCAATATACACACGTACCGAATCGCCGATCGTGTATCACTAGGGCTCATTTTATTGGCTCTGGAATTCTCCTGGATCGGTCCTCCATTCCGCTAGCACACAAATGTGGAACGACGGCTGTATAAGTTTCCTCGCATATGTGTGCAATCAAATATTTCCACCGTATACAAAGTTTAAATTCTCTTAATAGACATCTCTAAATTCGAAAGAGCTAATCTACATATTTTGTAAAATTGATAAATTATAATTAATGCGTCTTAAATAATTTCATTCCTTTAAAAAACGCGTCAATATTCGCAAAAATATTTTTTCTTATCATTGTAAATATCATTTCTCTGGAGAAATCGGCTTTGATGAGATCTGAGAGACAACGCAAACCGGATTGAGTTATCTCAATTCAGACCGCGACGAGATTTCAAGGATATCGTTAGCGCGGCAGTAGCCATTGAGACATGGGCACGTCGCGTAATGAAAATGTAATGGCGACTCAGCCGATGGGGATCGCATTTGTCCGGAAGTAGTCCGCAGCAGCTCGGCGCACAGCCAGGTCATCTTATTTTGCATCGATGTTTTTATATCAGCGGTTCCAATTGCTTAGAATTGATTAGGAAAAACACTATTGGATTTCTCTCTCCGATTGTCAATCGAAACGGTGATAAAATCATAAATCCAATTTTATGGAATCACTAACTTGGATATAGCTCGAAATTGCGTGCGAGTCATTGATTGACGATCGTGAACGCATCCTATCGAATCTTCATCGAATAAGAGATTTCTATTTCTATTGAAACACTTCGAAGCAAATAAAACGAAAAGTAACGAACGTCATCAATCTTCTTCAGGCTAGTCAAAATCGAAAGCTTGTTTTGGTTTTTCGTTACCACGATAGTTTCTAGCAAATCCCGCAATTTTTTATATTATATTCCCAGATATAAAGAAAAAGTTGCGACATATAGACAATATAAGAGAAACGTAATTACGTAGACGAGACGTTGCATCTCTCGATTCGACGTATCCCAGAAGTGCGGAACGGCACGGAGCGACGGCAATAAGCCCCAGTAATATGGTGGCCAGTTCCAGCGACGGCAGCAAAACTCGTAGCAGTAGCAATAGCAGTAGCGGCAGCTAGCCGATTCGGGGGTGGTCCAGGCCGGACTCAGAGCCCTCGTATAGCTGTGGTCAGCAGGCGTGACGGCGTGTGTGCGCGTAGGGTAGTCATGGTGCTTTCGCTCTGGCAATGCCACCATGATCCCAACAACTATCCCCCTGACTACCGGCCGCGCCGCGGGGATGCGACCATAAACGCGAGAGCGAATTGATTTGCGACCGGAAAGCGCGTATCGTTTCCAGTAATGATCGCGGAGACCTCATTGTCTTCGTGCGACGGCGAGATCATCGAGTGAACGATACGATATACGGTCAAACGGCAAAAAAATGTCGTGGTTCACGCCTCATAGATCGCGGTGTTACCGTAATTACGAAACCCCTCGGATGGAAATGCAAACGCGCGCGCGATGTCGGTGACGATGACTCGTTGTCACACGTTTAATTTATTCCTTCGAATTGACTTTACGACGAACGGAGAAAACGTCGAAAATTGTAATTAGATGATAATTGTAATCAGAAAACTTGAAAGTATATGAATAACAATAATTCCCGAATTTATTATTTGCTCATCCCGATATAAGAATGTATTTGTCGGAACAAGTGTCAAGCAGAAAAAATATTCAGCCAGGCTGCCATAAGAGCGATAGCGGCCAACTTAACTCATTGTCGTCGAGGGTTCATCGGAAACAACGATGATCATCGAATCATCGGTGCACTGGCACGAATAGGGAGACATATGTCGCGACGCAGAACCCTCCATTACGATATTGGCTCGAACTTATCGCATTAGGCAGCTTTAACGCGCGAAAATGAAGCCTGCGAATGCGGCGGCATAGAACAGACACGAATGGCAGCGGGGTGTAAACTATAATAATGAAATAATAATGAATGCTCTCGCAACATTGACCCTGGAATATTTCTCGATGTTACGAAAATGATGAGCCGGCAGAAATATTAAAGTTTGCGTTTTGCTCCCGTCGCGTTCGATCTATCGCGCGCTTTATTATGTCACTACGACTATTAGATACCATAGATTTATACAGATGTCAAACATAAAAGTAAATATGTGTGTGTGTATGTGTGTGTAATAAATCATTATTTTTAAAACAAACAAACAAACAAATAAACAAAGCGTGTGAGACAAGTCGCTCTCTCAACAGAAAATCTCGTCGGCAACGGTACGACATTCTTTCACGGAATCTGTCAAGTGGAATAATTCCGTAGCGATAGACCGCTCGAGACAGAAGATTTACATTGGCGTTTGCGATCCGTTCTGCCAGCTTCCTTTAACGATCGTGGATCTAGCACGCGCGTGAAGCCTAATTCACACGCAAATCGCATTTAACACCGTGATTTCACGGTAGATTGTTCATGGCTGATATATTAACCTTTTGAATTCGTGTCCGGCACTATCACAGCTTTTAAAACCGAGACAGTATAGACAATATTGAGGCGGCTTACGTGTTTTTGCTATACAATACCAATATAGCATATTTCTTCTGATATAAACGTTATAATGCTCGGATTTACTACCAAGTTCAAAGAGTTGAGTCTTAGTCGACTAATGCATTATCGATCCACATTTTTCCAGGTCATGGCGGAGTCAACCAACTCGGCGGCGTCTTTGTGAACGGAAGGCCCCTACCGGATGTAGTCAGGCAGAGGATCGTCGAGCTAGCGCACAGCGGCGTCCGACCGTGCGACATTTCGAGACAACTCAGGGTATCTCATGGCTGTGTATCCAAGATACTGTCGAGGTGAGTGCCGCACTCTTTTCGTATCCGTTACAACCGCAGCCTCCCACCGAATACCGAATACCTTCCAGGACAGCGGGCAAGATGGGCGAAATTGTTAATCTGAATCCGCGAATAAATCAAATCTCTAAAAAAATCAAATCTCACGTAAAGATTAAAATTAAATCTCTGAAACGTGACTTATTTATTTGAACGGTGTAAGTATTCCTTGAGCAATTAACTGAGACGTATCAGAAATGTATAATTGTATCTGAAAATCGCATTTGCCAAGTTCGGAGAGCGGATAACGAGCAAACAACGTCGCCGAAGGGCAAGTGATTTATGAGGGAATCAAGTTTGTCTTGCCAAATGCCACGCCGCAATTTCCGCGCCGCGAAGTGGCCAAGGTCGTTCGAATCGCGGATAGAAAGAGAGAAGATGAGAAGGCAAAAAACGCGCGCGCGGGAGAAAGAGAGACTGCTCTTCCCGAAGCAATTTAATTAAAGACGCTGTTAGAATCGCGAAACGAACGAATCCGAGGGATGAACAGAGAGACGACGAAGCCGGAAGGAAGGAACCAGTCCTCATACCCTCGCAACGCGGGGGTGCTCGACGATATGCGGTTTCCATGTTTTTTCCACCCTCCAGACCCCCGCTCCGCTATATAACGGGTGGCCTCGTGCCGCTTTGATGGTCCGAACGTCATTCGCGTCCCCCGACTGAATATCATTGTCATATACGCGCTCTTTCATGAATCCCGCATAATAAAGGCCGACTGGATTATTTACTGCCACGACTAAAGTTACCATTTCCTCTTCTTTTCTTCGGCGCGGACCCCTTTTCGAGCGAGGATCGAGTCACAGAAACGAGATTTCGTCATTAACAATGTGAATGTCGCGCGCGATCCATCGGTTGAATTTCACTTGTGCGTCAAAATATGAGAGAGCAAATTTCGAACAATTTAAATCTTGGATTTCAGCACCGAAGGATCCGGAAGTAATGTCACGAGTACCGAAGGGTAATAACGCAATCTCGTTAACAGTCCGATACAAGCGCTATGGTTTTCGAGTGCTACGCGCTGCTAAATTTAAACGTAGACAGTGGAGAACTTAGTGCTAATTCCATCTAAATACATAGTTCTTCCGTGTGGGGTGTGCGGATGTGACTTTATGACCCGAAAATACAGTGAAAACATAGGGCCTGTCGACGACGACGACGACGACGACGATACCGACGTGACATCGTTAACACCGACGCAAGCAGTTTATGCAGTCACGCGTCGCTGATAGAACGAGAATGCCGCGCGTCGTGATGCCTCGTTCGCCGAATCTAAGCGAAACCGGATACCGGGATTTTTTCGACTTCAGGCGAGGGTTCGTAAAATCGTTGACGAAGACGGCGTTGAAAAGTCCGATGCCGGTGACCCCATGAAATCGAGTCGTTCCCCGTTTGCTCGGAAAACCTTTTCTGACTGCCGCGTCGGAGATATACAAAGTGCTCTTCTTCTTTAGGGTTACATTCGAAAGAAGAAACGCGAGAGGGATCGTAGTCTTGTTGTTCTTTGTGTCACGCTCGTGAATCTGCTTCTATATTCTAGATACGTCGTGGATTCTGGGGACTATGTAAAATGTTATGATTCTCGAGTCCTGCAAAACATCTTTTACTAGCGTGCAAATGTGATGACGATACGTCTTTTCTCGCTCGTGTCGTGACGTTATGCAAATGTACATTTTATTAACTTCTCATTCAATTAGCGATTGAATAATTAACATTTTTCTGTAACCTATTCTATTATTACAATTATACAATCCACTTCTTGCGTCAACGCTACACTTTTAATGTTAACGTGAAAATCAGTACGAGGCATTGTGGCCTCGTAATGAAGGGCGTAAATAATGCCATTTTTTCACGGAGGTGGTGCTTTCGATTTCGCGCAAGACTGTTTCGAATCCATTTAAATCTGTATTAATACAGCAAGGGTGAGTAACACGCCGACGATGGCAAGGCAATTTGAAAAATCGCGCGATCTAATGGCCATTTCACGGTGGAGGCGGAATAAAGGGGACGAAATATTAACGGGTGAGCATTGCCATGTGGGCTTGAAATAGGGTTTTACACCAGATATGATCGCAATAATTTCGTGGGGATGGCGAGACCCAGGTCTGTTCAAGGCTATCCGATTGTATAATACTTTCAGCTGTAGATTTACGATCAAATGTTTCTTTTTTCGACAATACAATAAAATATCAATTGATAGATCAATGCAATCTGACAATTATAATAACAAAATATTCAAAAATAGTAACATATTTCCCAAAGAGTGATATTATTCATTCTAAGATAATATAGAAATATACGTTACAGTTTTAATTAAAAAATTTTCATCCTTCTACAACAATCAAAATTCGTACAAAGGATCAGGTTGTCGCAAAGGACTATAATTCGGCTCAACAATACGAAACCCATTTTTCCTGTAACATGCAACGCAAAAAACCTGTTACGACGTTTTTATTCGCGCAAATATTTTTTACCGAAAAATGCAGAGGTCTAATACTGGAGCGTGTTCATGTTCCGCAGTACACGCACAAAGGTACACGCGCGCACACAAAATTGGCCAGATATCCAGCCGGTATGAGTCGATGTCGACGCCGACGCCGACGCCGCCGCCGGCGGCGTCGGCGGCGGCGGCGGACCCACATCCATCAAGGCGGCCCACAAGCGAACCATTATTGCGGGCCATTCGGCGTAATTGAATTTAAGCACGAGCGAAGATATTATTTAACTAATTAGGCACAAAGGGCGCGTTCACGGCGGGCCAATCGCGATTGTCCATCTCGCGCGCATATATACGCACCCCGCCGGTGGGAGGCCCGGCGGAAGAGGAACGAATGAGAGAACGAGAGGGACGAAGAGAGGTCCAAAGAGCAAAGAGAGGGAGGGAACAGCGGGAGGCCAGAAGCCGTTTGTTTTAAAACAGCCGGTCGTTGACGCGCCGCTGGACGGCGATTCGTTATTCCGACGTTGGCCGCCCACCGCGGGAAAAACGTTCGTTCCTCTCTCTTTTTCCCCTCTCGACCTCCCATGTTCCGTGATAGAGCAAAAGAGAGAAAGAGAGAGAAAGACAAACTGCGAACTTTGGCAACCGATCTCTTGTCGGCATCGCGCTTTCAAGTGCAGTTTAAGACCGATCAAAAGATTTCTTCCTTCCGCGTGTTGTGATTATTTCATAAGATAAAATTAATTGTAATGTTACGTGAATTTTATTTTGTAGGTATTATGAGACCGGTAGTTTCAAAGCCGGTGTCATAGGAGGCTCCAAACCGAAAGTAGCAACGCCGCCGGTCGTCGACGCGATTGCTAATTACAAGAGGGACAATCCGACCATGTTCGCGTGGGAGATCAGGGACAGATTGCTGGCCGAAGGCATTTGCTCGCAGGACAACGTGCCATCCGTCTCTTCCATCAATCGGTGAGTCGATGCTCCGACAATTTTTCTAGTATAAAGACACGTTTTATGAAGAAATGTCACTTTATTTCACTAATTGCGGGTGGAAGACAATAGATTACGTCGTTCCCAGTGATTACCCGAAGAATCGCGACATATGCTTCAACCGATCACTGGCGATAGGGACGCGATCAGCTATTTGCGCGCGCGCGCCCGGGCGCGGAGTGTTCGACGAGAGCACACCCTCGTATGTGCATCGAGATAAGTACGCATCCGGCCCGTCACCCCGATCCTATTGACCTTTCGCAGGTTCCTTCGGGACCGGGCCGATTAATTCAAGTGTTTTTGCGTCGCCCGACGATGCGGCGGGCCAACGGAACACGAGTACCCTAGGATGTTGTAGGGCCGCCCTTACGAGAGCGAGAGCGAGGGGGAGTGAGCTCCCGCGGGACAGCATTACAGCGTATCAGCACCGCACAAACTGAACGACTCGATCCCCTTTCGACCAACTGAAAAGCTACAAGGGTACACTGCTGGAAAAGGAATGCGTGGGTAGGTAGGTAGGACAGGAAGGGACAGAGAGAAGCGACCGAGAGGAGGAGACACCGGGGTACCATTGATCGGCTCGCATATGTCCCGAGATTTAATCAGTCGCTACTTAAGACCTTATCTCCCGCTTAGTTTACAAGGGCCAGGCTATCTTTCTCCAAGGTCCGATTCTGTCTTTCTCGCGTGCACGCAGTCGATAATGAAATAGAGCGTAATGCGAATCGAATTGCCGGCAAGTGAAATTCACTAACGCGATTTCTACGGACCGCAGCCGCTAATGGAAACGCACGCAAATGAGTTAGCGCCCACGTAACGACGTAAGTGCTATGCGCGGCCGCTTATTTAAATTCCGCGTCGTGGTTGCGCGCGAGAGATTAGTCCGGCCACAATTACACTTGCGATACTGCATTCTCCTGCGAGAATCTCAATCGCCGTAAAAATCCATTCTTTCGATTCAGTCATAAAGTGACGATCTTCGACTTAATCAATTTTTCTTTTTCCTACTTTTTCACGATTTTCTTTGTAGCTCTTGTAGCTATACCATAAAGTAATTGTTACACCACGAGAGAAAGTTTTGAATAAACTCACATAACAGTGGTTACCCAAATAGAAAGCAATTAACCTCTCTCCGTCACATTCCCTGGTGTTTCGTCAAGCTTACTTTGCCCCATCATAAGAGTTACCTCGCACATATTTTCATTCTTCCACTATTCGCGTCGTGCGGTCACAGTAGCGTGAAACGTGGGCGTGTGTATGTACAGAATTACTTTCTGGCCGAGGTTTTCGATGTGTCTAGGATTGCAGTCGAGGGTGCGGCGGTGGCTTGTTGCTCGAGTGACTCCTCCACCTCCGGCTCCACCTCCGGCACACGCTCTCGCCTCCTCCTCACTCTTCGCTCCCTCTCGCTCTCGCCTCCTCTCTTTGGCCACGGTCTCCTTCTCGCTACTACGACTCCTTTTCCTCCTTGTCCCTATCCCCCGATTCGAGGCCCAGATGGCGGGTATTGATCTGAATCCGGAGAGCAGATCGCCTGGAAAAACTTACTCCGCGGATACTTACCTACCTACCTACCTACCTACCTACCTACCTACCTATCTACCTCGCTCCGCTATCTACATGCACCTATCCAACGTACCATCACCCACTCACGTACACCGAACCCGCAACCTTCCGCCCTATCCATTCGGTACAAGTAAATGCATTTCCGCTCGACGAGTAACAGATAGAAATGCGCACGCGTTTGGGTCCCTTTAGAAAATGCCCACGCACTCAGTACGTACTCCCGCAGGCTAATTGTATAACGACTGATAACGAGAAGGACTTTAAATGTTACATATATATTCCGCGAGGCGTCGAAGCGAATATAGTTTCTGTCCGATACAGACAGATATGAAATTCATTGGGATGACGGTGCAGTTTCGTGAGGGGAAAGTAAGATCGTCAAAACGGCATGACGGCGCAGAGATTGTCATGTTACGACTTCATCTCATATAAACTTGACGAACAAATGCTGCGACTCTTATTGTTAGACAATAGTAGACAATTGCTATAAAGAAAAGGGAAATGGAGATAGAGAAGAATAGAAAATAAAAAAGAAAATCTTCAAATCGATCGAATCATGCTTTCGTCGACGAACCTTTGGTGCAGTTGGAAGTTAGTTTAAAGAAAAGAGTGCAAAGAGAGAAAGGTCTCGATATGAAATGGGATTTCGCCACGAAGAAACAGGAACTGGGTGCATCAACGACCAGAGCGCGTAGTATACCGGGATTTCTCCCATTATGAGCATGTCCCGGTTTTTCTAGCTTCGGGGTGGAGAAATAATGATACAGCTAATATAATGTATTGTCTTGCTTTGCCGGAGCACTTCGAAATGAAACCCGTCCGCAAACGCGGGACAGAAAGAGAAAGAGCGAGAGTAGAGAAGTAGCATGGGAGTCGTGCGAGATAAAAAAAAAGGCGGACCAGAAGAGCGAAATAATGGAGTGGCTTTCGCGAAAAATAACAGTTATATATCCCGTATATAAGACAGGATTGAGGAGAGCGGAAAAATAGGCGAAAAACGGAGAGAAGATTGGACGCTAACAGTTCCGAGCCTCTTCTTTATTCGCTAAAGACGCCGACACAGCGACTTCTTCCTATTGTTCTCATTGCGCGCTCTTTATGAAACGCAGAATGCCCGTCGTGATTAAAAAAAGAACGTTTCCTTTGCATGGTTCTTACGAAGATAGCTCTTCTTCTTCTAGTAAAAGGAATTTCGTGTCGCCAATTTATTTAACACATTTAGCGGGTCAAAAGAGTATTAATCAGACATTATTGAACGTGAAATGTGTATGGTAATTAAAAGGAAGATGAAAGAAATTTAGAACATTAAATGCATAAATGTCGCGCACGATCGAAAAAACGAACGCATCTATTGTGAGGGTATGACATCGAAAAAGATGAAGATAAAATCGGGAGTGTCTAAAAAAAAGAATATAAAGAGAGAAGGATTGTCGAAGGAGCTACGGTGAATTTCAGGAGGAAATATTGATAGGCTCGGCTTCGGCTGCGGAGTCACGGTCGAGTAGGCGGCTCTCTACCGAGGTCTATCTTACACGTATACAAACCCGCAAAGGCCCACCCCTCTCTCAAACCATTCTCTCTTTCTCTCTCGCGCTTTCTTGGTGTCGATCCTTCTCTCCCTTCTTCTTCGTCGGAGGAGTCTCAGGAGCAGATCGATAAGGAGCGAGGTTCGCCCGAGAGCTTTACGCCGGGTTCACAGCCTCCTTCTTCTCGTTTCCTCGACGCAGCCCCCGACGTCACGCTCTCGCGTGCCTCTCGCATTCGCCTCCGAAGCCGCAAGTTACGACAGAGTCGATATCAGGGCCAAAGGAAGAAGCCGCCGCTCCCTTGACTTCCTCTGTTGTTCCGGTCGAGAATCCTTCGCTCGCGAGATATACTAGCCTTGTTCGACGATGTTCGAATTAGAAGTCAAGCTTGAAAGTTCTTTATGCGATAAAGATTCAAGAATTATCTTTCAAATGTAAATTTCACGCAGTCATCGATCTTTTGTTTCATTCTCAACGTTTTATACATTATTCGGCGGATTAAAAAATTCCATCGCAGTAAGGTGCATTTTAAAAGAGAAGGATGTGTGTGAACAAGATCTAAGCGATCTCGCAGATTCCCGAATCCCGCACGATCGATCACATTTTCAGTCGTAGCTTTAATTCGACGTAATGACCAGCGCAACGACAACAGTTGGCAGGAAATCTGTCGCGTCGAATCTCGCCGGAATTGTATCAATCTGTCATCGCTCTCTCGCGCCGGTGCGCGGCAGCGTCGTTCTGTTTCTATCGCGCGACTCAATCTCCCGTCGAGGCGCAACCGGCTCCGCTTCGCTCTCCATTACTTCCATATCATTTCGCACCCCCGGAATCTCCCGAGGTGGCGGCGCAGGAGCGGCCCGGGCCATATGGCTGGTTGCTCTCCTGGAGGACACAGAAAGACACAGAGGGACAGCCAATGGGATGGCTGTTACTTTCATGCCACTTTCGCCTTTCCGGCCGGCATCACCGGTATATCTCCCTGTTCATCTTTCGGTTATTAAATTACATCCCCATAAATAATGCTCTGCCTACCCCGACGAGCTTATTTACCATTCCACGCAGCACCGCGGGAGGACTCTTCTCCTCCAGGAAGCCGTCAAATCGTCGCATTTGTCATCTCAACTTGAATTCATTTACCGAAGGAATTGGTTCGCTATTTCGCATTCTTGGCGGACGCTAATTTCTCGATAAATATCGTATTGGCGTTCGGGGACATTTTATTTCAACAATATGAAAAAATGCTTGATGACACTGCAATCCAAGACCGTCATTTTATCTAAAACAAATTTTGCACAGAGCAAAATATTCAATGCCACCTTATTTTTCTATTACTTGCCTCAAAAAATATAATAGAATGATTTTGAATACCGATCAAGACTGTTTCAGAGATAAGTTAAAAATCAAAGATTTTTCTCTCTTGGAAGGGTGATAGGATGTCGGTGTTTAAATGAATAGCGACACACACATGGCCGTAGGGAGAACAATATGGTGCACCATGGTCGTGGACTTCGTTAAAGCAGCCATATTTGCGGTGCGCGGGAGCGAAAGGGAAGGAGGCCCTCCTACATTATCCGGCACAGCAGCACCCTCGGGGGTGGGCGGAGGATCCGGGGGATGGTGCCTCCACGTTGGAAACGCCGGCAGTGGCGGCGGCGCGTATCCATAACCGTCCTTTGTCTGGATAACGCAATTATTACCGCGTTTCATCATACCCTCCGGCCGAAATTAGCCCCAAATGAAGTTACAATTACGGGTTCTCCGTATCCCCTGCCAGCGAATGGAGGGAACCGCTATGAGAGACTTTGAGGTTGTACCTCGATGAGAATGGCGACAATGACGACGACAATGATAAGGATGACGACATCGACGACATCGACGACGGCAAGG